TTCATTGGCGGGAACAGATCAGGCTGGAGTGATAGGTCATTCCTAAGGAGGGGGTTACATTCAAACTGATTGGTTTGGGCCTTGAATGCCTTCGTGACAAGCTGCACTGAGTCCTAGGCTTTAAATCAACTATATGGCCAGTAGGGCATTGTCTTAACTGCCTCAGGAATTTAACCCATGCTTTGCAGTTTAGAAGCAAGTTTACAATGCCTGGTCCTTTACATTTTAACTCCGGCTTTGCAGCTTAGAAACTTTACCCTTTCAATTTAAATTCCCTCATGTCTGAAGAATTATTTTATAATGCATTTTAAAACTTAAAAATGCATGGGGAGTAAGATTTTTTTTTCCTTCTCCATTGAAGTATAACTTCAAAGAGTAAAATAAACAAATCTCAAGTGTTCAGTTTGATGAGTTTTTGCAAATATCTCTAGCCACTCTTGTTAAAAAATTGGTATATTTACAGTATTCCGGAGGCTCCTTTGTGGTCCTCAACTAGTTGCTATTTCTTTCACAGGACTTTACTGTTTTGGCTTTCTCCTCTATGGGTTTGTTTTGCCAGTTCTTGATCATTATATATTTGGAATAATATAATGTGTACTCTTTGGGGTCTGGCTCCTTTCTCCCAATATTACTGCTAGGTGATATGACAAATTTATGTTTAACTTTTTAATAAACTGCCAAACTGCCTTCCAAAGTAGCTGTATTGTTTTTGTATTGGCATCAGCAAACTTTGAGAGTTCCATAACCTTGCCAATGGTATGGTCAATCTTTTAAATTCTACACATTCTAATAGATATGTCATGTCATCTCAACATCATGGTTTTAATTTGTTTCCCTAAAGATGTTTGGTATCTTTGTGTGTGCTCATTTGTTATCAGTTTATTTTTGTTGTTGTTGTTGAAGTCCCTGTTTAAATCATTTGTCCGTGTTTAAAATTGTTTTTCTTATTATTGGGTTTCAAGGGTTATTTATGTATTGTGGATACAAGTCCTTTATCAGATATGTGGTTAGTAAATAATTTCTAACCGTCTATGACTTGTTTTTCCATTAAGTGTCTGGCAAGCCACAGTGTCTAAATTTGGATAAAGTTCTATTTGTTTTTTGGTTTTTTTTTCTTTTCTGAATAGTGCTTTGGGTGGTATAGCTAAAAGAGCTTAGTTTAACCACAGATCACTGAGACTTTCTTTTTCTTCTAGAAGTTTTATAGTTTTTTTTAATGACAATAATAAAAACTTTAATATCTAGTTTAACACATAATCACAATATTCAAAAGCTAATATTAAGAATAAATGTATTCTGAACATAATTATCCCCTCCATTTTAGCTTTTACATTTTGGTCTACGATACAATTCAAATTAATTTTTATATATGGTGCAAGCTATGTAAAAAAAAGTTTTCTTTCTTTGTTTTAATGGATATCTAATTTTTGCACCATGATTTGTTGAAAAGAATGTTTTTCCTTCCACTGAAATGCCTCCATTCCATGTTTTCTGATAATCAATTGATAATGTATGTGTGGGTCTGTTTCTGGACTCTCTTCTGTCCTGATTATATATTTGGTTACCTTGTCATCATTATCACCCTGTCTGAATTACTGTAATTTTAAAAGTCTCAAAGTCAGATATTGTAAGTCCATCAGCTTCTTTTTCAAATGTTCTTTATATTTCTATATGCAGTTTAGAATCTTCTTATTAATGTCTGTGATAAAATCTGCTGGTATATTGATTGAAATTAAGTAGAATATATAGACCAATTTGGGAAAAACTGACATCTTAACAGTGAATTTGCTTCTTTAATTTCACTCAGCAATATTTTGTAGTTTTCAGGAAATAGGTTTATCACTCATTGGTCAGATTTATCCGTTAAGTACTTCATGTTTTAACACTATAAAAATTCTAATGCCTTGTTCTTTGTTGGTAAGATAGAGAAATACAGTTGATTTTATTATTTTGATCTTGTAACCTACAACTTTCCTAAAATCATTAGTTCTAATAATATTAAATGTAGGTTTTGTATCAGGTGCAATGGTACATGCCTGTAATCTCAGCAACTAGGAGGCTTAGGCAGGAGGATCACAAGTTTAAGATCAGCCTGGAAAACTTAGCAAGGTCCTGTCTTAAAAAAAAATAAAAGAAAAAGAAAAAGAAAGTAGGTTCTGAATACATGACCTTTGTTTATCACATTTATCTCTTTTATCCCTAGTGAGGATTTTTCTTAGAAAGGGATGTTGATTTTGTAAAGTGCATTTTTTTGCAACCATAATTCACCTTTTTTAGTTTGTCATTATGTTGTTTTAAAATGGAAAACAGCATAATGAAGCCCATGTTTCTCTTTTCAAGAGAAGTCAACTTATCCTGCCTTGGAACATAGATATTCCTGGTTCACACTTAGACTGGGACTTAATACCACTTTTCCTCTGGCTCTCCTGGCTTTGGTTTTGGATTAGAACTACACCACTGAGTCCTGGGTCTTCAACTTGCAGAAAGAAAATCATGGTAGCCTCCCTAACCACATGAAACAATTCCTCATAATAAACCCACCTATGAATCTATTTCCTATTGCTTTTTTTTTGGCAGTACTGAGGATTAAACCCAGAGGTGCTCTACCACTGAGCTACATCCCCAGCACTTTCAACTTTTTGAGAAAGGGTTGAATTTTCAATCTTTCTACCTCAGCCTCCCAAGTCATTACAGGGATGTGCCACCATTGCCTGTCTCTACAGTAGAGTTCTTAAGGGAGTTCTGCTACAAACTCCAGTTTGTAACATCCACTTTTGTATAAGTCATTGATTTTAAGTCCTTACATCTTAGTACTAAATTTTCTTTCCCATTGTGTTAATTTTCTCTTTAGCTAGAATGCACATTTAGTAAGGAGTTGACTATGAAGTTTACTTTTTTATTCCCTGATGGTGCTGGACACATGGGAGGTACTTAGACCTTACTGGCTGCCTCATTTATTCATCACTTTTCATTATATTCTTTCTAAACCAGGCAAAAGAGAGGCACAGATTGTAAAACATCAGTCTCAGACAGTAGAAAAAAAATGATTTCTAAGCCAACAGAATGATTCATATTTTAGACACTTAGATCATGCATAATTTTTCCTTGCCTCTTTTTGCCTAGATGACTGAGATCTGACTGTATACTGATGAATCCTCAAAAGCAAATGTTAAAATAGTACACTAGGGCTAGACATAAAATCACATACATTAACCCCTCCAAAACTTCTGGAACAAAGAGTAGGGATTGAAAAATAGTGTATTTTGTTCATACATGTGACTGAATACACTATTAGTTTAGATATTCATTTGTACTATCAGTAAAATTAACATCGTAGGTATGATCTGACCAGCCTCAAAATAAATATTACTTCTCACATAAATTCTACATTATTGCCAAATGATTATAATTCATATTTTATAAACATGTTAACCAATTCTGCATTTCCTGAATTAGGAAAATTATTTAATAAATACTCTTAGAGAGATATATAATGTTACTACCTTACAATTTCATGGCTTGGAAGCTCTTAGACTCTGCCGTTAACTTATTCAATGTTCTCCAGTCATTGCTCCTTTCCAATAAAACTACTAGCATAATACCATGCTTTCATTTCCCCCTTTTCCTAGCATTATTAAAGAGAAAGAGAGAGAGAGAGAGAGAGAGAGAGAGAGAGAGAGAGAGAGAGAGAGAGAGGAAACAGCAGGTAAATGTTCAGAAAAAGAGATGAATCATATTCAGGTGCTACAAATTCTGAAGTTCTGTATTCACAAATCCATTTGGAGCTCATTCTAATGAGAATTCAAATTCCACAAAACCTTTTGAAAAATAGAATAGATAACAATTGCAAATTGGGCTATTATTAAAATAAAACAGCAAATATGCAAAATGTACTCTTCAGGCCTTAGTACAAGAACAATTAAAAAAAGATTTCAATATCATGCTTCTTCTTCTTCTTTTTTTTTTTTTTTGGCAGTACGGGGGAACCCAGAGGTGCTTTATTACTGAGCAATGTCCTCAGTCCCCCACCGTTTTAAATCTTATTTGGAGACAGAATCTGGCTTAGTTGCCCAGGCTGGCCTTGAACTTGCAATCTTTCTGCCTCAGCCTCTGAAGCTGCTACAATTACAGTCATGCACCACCACACCCAGCTAATATCACATGCTCTTTAAAAAAAAAAAAAAGAGATCCTTAAGGACCACACATGCTATCCCATTTGGCAAAAACTTAGTAGAAAATAAAATTTATTAATCTTGATAGAATTTTTAGAATCTCTCATGTATCCAGATGTTAATTTTTATGCTTTTGGTCAATGCACAAATGTTATATAAAATACATGTATAAAACTCAATAGTTTTATGCAAACTGCATTTTAGACACATAGAACCCTCAATAATGACCAGTGATCTCTGGCGTATATTTAAAAAATCACCTTTGTCTCTCTCTCTCTCTCTCTTTTTTTTTTTTTTCCAAATTCTCTAGCTGGAGAAAAACAAGTACAGTAGTTATTAATTTGCCTAAGGAAATCCAGAAACTATCTTTTGAATTCTTAAGTGCCACAAAATATTTTGGCAAAATAAGAGTAAACAAATTACTTAGAACAGGGTCTCCCAAACTTGACACTTGACATTGGCCCAGATAACTTTATATTGTTGGAAGTTATCCTGTCCATTATGTGATGTTCAGCAACATTCCTGGTCTCTACTCATTAGATGCTAGTAGTATTATCCCATCCTCCCAGCTGTGACACCCATAAATGTCCCTAGACATTGCTAAGTGCCCCCTTGGGATGGAGGGGATTACCTCTGGTTGAGAGTTATTATAAAGTGATAGAAGACAAAAAATCCAAAGTTAGATGTCATTGAAAAAAGCTCTATGACCCCACAATATCAGAGAAGTATCAATTTGCTTTAATGCATTATCTCAAAGTTTCTCCCCAGTTTCATGTTTTCCTGAAAAAATAATTTCCTCAAGGTACAAATAATGATTTAACACTCCAGAAACAAGAAGATAAGTTTATTTTGGTGTCCAATTATTTCCTTTAAAAAGTTTAATGCTTGATAAAATAAAACAAACTTTTAGTATCATAAAAACCTTCTGACATGTACATGACATATTATTACTATGTACAACTTCGAAAACAAAGTAAAGTAATGTTGAACATCCTGATTATAGTTAAGCTATAGGAAACTTTCTGGATGGTCAATATTTTCCTTGGCTGGAAGAAAAATCATACAATCAAAAAATATAAATAAGACCTTCAATAAGTTGAGGATAATAAAAACACTATCTGAAATTCAGTCATCTGGATCTTGAAAAGTTTGTAGTAGTTTCAACAGTTCAGCAAGCAAAATGAAATCCTGTGGAAGTTCAAACTTCAGTCTTCCAGGAGAGGTCCTGCGGTTTCACAGTTGATCTATCAAAAATAAAAGCTATTTCCTATTATAGTAGAACTTGGTAGATGGTTCATATACCATTTTTCACCAGCTCATGGACTCCGTTCTCATCAATGATTAAAGGTGCATGGAACTCTTTATCTGCTACATAACTTTCTATTCCCTAAAAGGATTGAAATTAAACACAGTTAGAAAATTGGTGGATGCCTGTCAAGCACTGCTGGACTTAGTGGTTGTGATGCCAAAAGCCAGGCTGAGATAAAAGAATTTTAAAGTTAAAAAAAAATCTATTTCATGTACTTTAAAACTAGACTTAATAATTATTTATAGAAGCATAAAACAAACAACAAACAAAAGAAAGTAAGTTACTCTGATTATAATAATTTCTTTTCTTGCAGTTCTAAAACTGAACCCAGGACCTTGAATATGCTACACAAATGATTATCATATAATTTCTAAAGTTAATGATTTTCATCATCACTCAGTAAAGTTAACTTTCTCCTGATGCTACAACTAAGCATACTAATAAGAATCTCCATTACTCTGCATTAAAAAATGACAAAATCATAGAATTTACAGGGAAATGGATGGCATTAGAGCAGATTATGCTAAGTGAAGCTAGCCAATCCCTAAAAAACAAATGCCAAATGTCTTCTTTGATATAAAGAGAGTAACTAAGAACAGAGTAGGGACGAAGAGCAGGAGAAGAAGATTAACATTTAACAGGGATGAGAGGTGGGAGGGAAAGGGAGAGAGAAGGGAAATTGCATGGTAATGGAAGGAGACCCTCAGGGTTATACAGTGGAGGAGGTAGAGAGAGAGGAGGGGAGGGGAGGGGAGAGGTGGGGAGGGGGGAGGGGGGAGGATGTGAAAGGCAGCAAAGCACAACAGACACCAGTATGGCAATTTGTAAATCAATGGATGTGTAACTGATGTGATTCTGCAATCTGTGTATGGGGTGAAGGTGGGAGTTCATAACCCACTTGAATCAAAGTGTGGAATATGATATGTCAAGAAATTTGTAATGTTTTGAACAACCCACAATAAAATATAACTACATAAAAAAAAAAAAAAAAAAAAGAATCTCCAGAAAAAAATATTAATAATTTGAATAGCAGGGACCTTCAACTCCTCAGATGGTAAAAGTTACAGTAGAAAATGTACATTGCATTAAAAAGAGCTAAATGATTTATCAAAAAAGGTCAATAATGTATTTTAAAGCCTAATGAATTTTAATGGATAGGTGAAACAAATTAACATTATAGACTTCTGTTACTGACAAGTCACTCAATTATGGGATAGATGCAAAGACAACAGAAAATTCTCTAAGAATTAAGAATCAAAGCAGCTTTACAACTCACTCCTAGGAAGAGGTCTTCAGGATAGGATGACAAGAAAATGCTTCATTTTCTCAAAGGGTAACTCTACTTAAACATAATACAAGAATCCTGTTTTTTGTTTGTTTTTAAGTTTTATTCTTAACTGACAAATAATTATATGTATTTATGGGGTACAACATGCTATTTCAATGTACATATACATTGCAGAATGATCAAATCAGGCTAATTAACAGAATTCTCTCCTCAAATACTTACTGCTTTTTGTGGTGAGAACATTTAAAGTTCACTCTTAAAGCTGTTTGGAAATATACAATACTCTTAAAAGAACAAGAGGGGGAAAAAAGGAAAGCAAACTTACTTCTCCAGCATAGGAGATAAGAGGAGAGATTTCACACTGGATTGGTACATCATTGGCATCCTTCAAGCTAAGGGAAAAAAAAAAATCCCAAATATGTGTTAAAGATTTTACTTCCCATATTACTTGCCAGAGTTAAAATGAAGACCATAACTTCCCTCTGAGAAGCTTGCAGATAACAAAATTCTTGTAGTTGAACAAATGAAATATATCCTACCCTGATGATCATTAAATTTTAAATTTTCATGGTCAGAAAGACACTATTTAGGGAAAAAGCCAATAATTACTGCTAACTCTTTAAAGCATTTCATCACTGTTTATATACTATTCCTTTCTACACATCTCATTTTTTACTAATCCCAAGTTTCATAAAGTTGATAAAGAAGAGCCTATTAATTGAGTATATACTATGTGCCAGGCCCCCATTGCTAGGTGCCTTCAAACCTTTGCATAGCCTTTTAATCTTCATCATAATCTCCCAGGTCAGGTACTAATATTGACTAATATTCTAGAGTCAGACTGTCCAATTCAGTACCCAATGGCCATATGTGGCAATAAGTTTAAAATAATTAAAATTTTAAAAAATTGAAAATTTTAAATTCACTTTCTCAGTCATAATAATCATATTTTAAGTGTTCAGCAGCCATGAGTGACTAATGACAAACAAACTGGAGAGCAGAGATGTAGAAAACTTCCCTCACTGCACAACATTCCATTTAGACAGTACAATTCTAAAAATCATTTAAATTATTTCCTAATACATTTTTTTTTACAATCCAAATATCCTAGATTAGCTGAGTTAATTTATTAATTACATTTTATTTTTAAGGCATAGACAGAGTTTATTTAGGAAGGCAGACATGCATTCAAGGGAGAATGTAGGCTACCTCAAGAGTGAGAAGCCTATCCATTACATTTTAAAATACTTCTGTTATCAAAAGTCCTTTTTAAAGTGCTAAGGCAGAACACACTCAAGCAAAATCAAGGCCAAAGTCACCATCTGTGATTCTCAGTCACAATGTAATATTTATAGTTATTTGCAATTCTGAACTTCCAAATCATCTAACATAAAAATCAATAAACAGTACTTTCAATACATTTACAGTCACTAGACTGTGGCATTATTTGTCATTTCAAGAATCTTAGAAATAGGACAGGACACACAAAAAAATCCAGTCCTGTGTAGCCTCAAACCATGTTCTCTTTCTAGTAAGAAGTCTTCAACTTTGGTGGAGTCAATAAAATCAGAGGTTTTCTGAGGTCAGCCACAGGCCAATTTTTCTCCAAACAGAACTCTATATCTTACTCCAATTTACTTAATCTGACTACTTTCTACTTGAACCAGGACAGTCATATTCTCTTTGGATCCTTCCAAGTCATTTTCAGCTATGATCCATTTGACTATAAAAAGTATAATGTTCCTCCAAGATTTAGCTCTTGTCCCCACCTCTCCTAGACCACTGCATTTCATAGTGATTGCTTCCATTCATTTATTTAAAAAAAATAAATTTATTAAGCACCTGTTAAGTCTCCCTGCCTCCTAGAGTAAGTACTGTTTATACCATTGTTAGCACATAATCACATAATAATGCCCCTTAGTTTTTATGAATGGGCATCTTAATTTTTATGAATATGCATCTTGAACTCCCAGTAGGCTCTCTTTTGTGTAGACACTTCAGCACTGAAGATACTAAGAGCATCTGTAAGTAGGTCTGTCAATGCTTGCTGATTGAATGAATAAATGAACCATGAAAGTAGATGGACAACAGCCTAATGCAGAGAAAAGAGGAGGCACACACTTTACACATCTCTCCAGATATGTGCCAGATTCTATCACAAGAGTTATACACCAGACTCTCCTCTCTGGATGGCTTGAAGTCACACTAACCAAATGGAAAAAATGAGGGCCCATCCCACTGATGGGCAATTGATATATGTGTCTGTGTGTGTGTGTGTACACTAAACCTAACAACTTTGAAAGTGTAGCAAGAATATCATGCTGTCTTTTTAACTAAAAAGATAATGGCATTTAAAAACTTTGACAGTACCCAAATAAGAGGATATATGGCACTTCTAGCTAAAAATGACCTGTTAAAGACAAAAAAAGATACTAATTGACCAAAATTACAACACAATTACACAAAAAGAGAGCTGTTTATGTAAGAATAAATCAACAGAACAGCTTTCTCCATATTAAGAGCCATTGAATATATATGAATAATTACAACCTTTATACTGACATCATATTATCCAATTCAGTAAGATACATTTTCAGAATACTTTCTAACTTATGCTTATGCTAAAAGCTGGAATTCAAATTTGTTCTCTCTGACTCTAACCTGCTCTGGGTCTTACCTAACACCTGTAAAACTGTTACTATGGGCTCAAATACCCATGGTCAGATTCTTTAGTAAAGCATGCTCCCCATTTCCAGCATGCACTGAGATTCTGAGTTAGTGTCATCCAGACAGATACCTGCCACCAAGTAAGCACTGCACCCCGACCAAAGCTTCAATCATCCTCCCTCCAGGCCCCCAAAAGGCAGAGCACTAAACTACAATGCCAGTTAGTATGGAGGGAAGCACAGCCCCATCACCATGCACTGCAGGCAGGCTGGTATATTTACTTGTAATTGACATCAGCTGTGATGGTCTCTGACTTTCCATTTGTAGCACTGTTATGTAGGAATAAATAAGTATTAATGGGAATGGAAAGAAATTAAACAATAACAATGAAGTGGAGTTGCAAAGTACACTTGACCAAATGGCATATACTTATGGTAAATCGTAAATCTAGCACGAGAGGCCTGAGGGGGTTAAAAAAAAAAATTCAATGGTCAAAGATGAAGCATGAGAACAATATGACATGTCACAAAGCAAGCTGATTGACAAGGCAGAGCCTGTAAGTGGCCTTGGACTTGGAGATAGACGCTAACACTGTTCCTTTTTGTAAAAACAGTTATCAAACAGTAAGTTCCAATGCCCAATGCTTTAATACTTATTGAAGTATTCTAGTGCTTTAGTATATGCAGCCTTTTTTCCCTTAAGAACATAAATTAAATGGCAGAATGCTTCTCACCCAAATACAAAAACACCAAAAAGCTTAAAAAGGGAAATCTAGGTGCCAATGAAGGTTTTATCATAAAATAAAAGATTCAGCTTAAAAGTGCTTTATCTCAAATTTGAATAACTACAAGTACCTTCTTTCTTAAGCTTCTGAAAATACAAAATATTTCTAAAGTTTGAGTATCAGAACATAACTGGCACCTTTCTTAGTACCTGGGAGAAGAACCATGAGGCAACATCTCCTGGGTAGCCTGAGGGTGGCAGGGCTTTAGATGGGTCTCACGTATAACACTTGCTGTGAGGCCACAGATAAATGAGCAGCAATAACCCATCTTCTGTGGCTGAGAAACTTCCCCTGTGTATAGTATATTGCTAATGGGATTTTAAATTATCTTCTGACCATTATTTAATAGAAGTGATTTCATTGATATGGTGGGGCTATTTGAAAAAACAACAACAACAACTTTCTCTTTAAGAGAAAGTAAAGATGTCCTTCTCTGTAATGGGCAAAACTTGATGTTACTTCTTTTTTTTTTTTTTGAATTTTAATATTTTAGTTTTCGGTGGACACAACATCTTTGTACGTGGTGCTGAGGATCGAACCCAGGCCGGACGCATGCGGGGCGAGCGCGCTACCACTTGAGCCACACCCCCAGCCCCTTGATGTTATTTCTTATCACGAACTTCCCACACAGCAATAATTTACTATCTTAAAAGATTTTAAATTTACTTTTTTATAAAAAGATTTCAGGATATAGCAAGAGAGAAGTCAAAAAGAAGTCCAAGAAAACATTCCCACTGAAGAGAAAAGATAGTGACTTACCGGGGAATTGCTGGAAGGCGGGAGCCATTTTCATCTATAAAGTGGCCACCTGCATTAAGGACCCAGCAATGGTGAAGGGACATCAAAGCATGCCTTGCAGTAGTAGGGTTGTCCTTCCCATTCTGGCTGTCCGCATTCTTTAGTGGAGAAAACTCATCTTCCCGTAATACCTCATACACCACAAACTTCCTAGAGTGAAATCATACAAAGACTTCTTTCTCGTGAAATAAAATTGCATACAGAGCTTCTCATTCCTCTCTATATAGCTAAGCCGTTAGTATTCAATGACAAGTTTTCTTAACATAATTTTGGTTGTATTACAAAAAAATAATGCTCATCCCTTGACCAAAGAAAATTGTAATTTTCTTCTCCAGTACAAAAATGAAAACTCATTTCTAACCCCAACTATAATAAAACATTTCATCTTAGATCAGAAAGATCAGAAATCCTAATGCACAAAGATCATATTAGCACGGGAGCTAAGAGAAAAAAAATATAAAAAAGATGCTTTAGAAATGTATATGGAGGGCTGGGGATGTGGCTCAAGCGGTAGCGTGCTCGCCTGGCATGCGTGTGGCCTGGGTTCGATCCTCAGCACCACATACAAAGATGTCGTGTCCCTCGAAAACTAAAAAATAAATATTAAAAAATTCTCTCTCTTAAAAAAAAAAAAGAAATGTATATGGAGAGACTGACTGTATACAGCTAATTCACATTCTGCATTTTTACATTTGTCAAATTCTGAAATAAGTATCTCAACATCAGATGTGATCTTTATTATAGAAGGGTATATAATCCAAAAACATGTTCGCTAGAACATATGCTCACAGGTCAGAAACAGATCCCAAACACAAATGGGTCAATTGTTTATCTTAACCTTTTTAGTCTTTCAGCCAAGCAAGATAAATGACTTTAACAACTTTGCAGGAGAGCCAGATAACAATCCAACTGATAAAAAGAACACTGCACTCTAGGTACTCAAATCACACTCCTTGGAGTGGTGGTTTATTGTAGGGAATGATAATCGATCTAGATGATATACTCATGATCAAAATGCCTGAAATACATGCTATCAAATGTTTCCTGAGAACAGTTTCCTGCCTAACAGACTAAAAAGCAGCATTTCAAGACAAATTAAATCTTACTGGTGTTATTCAAAGCATACTTTGCAAACTGGAAGATGTCAAAGACAAATTTTTCCATCTTTATTCCATTTGGTTTGTCTGGCTTAATTAATTGCCCCTGGGAATCCACATATGGAATCTTCTTTTGAGCCACATGATGCTGCAACTGGGGTTCGTAAACACTAAGAATTAAGGGGGAAAAACAGACAATCACTTTCCAGATTTAAAATGCCAGAAAATTTGATAATAATCAGGCACAAATGTTAGAACAAAGTACTAAGATTTTCAAAGTGAAGAACATTTGTTAAGCTTTGGTTTATATTAAAATACTGAATGAATAGACTTCTCCCACTCATTTCCTTATATTTTAAAAAAAACAAATAATGATTTCCACATTAAAAAACATACACACCCAGACACATACAGACAGAAGTTACATCAATGTCTCTCTCATTACTTTTATGACTCTTATAAAATGTTCTCTTGCTCTAGCTTTTTCAGCTGAGATTCCTTCAAGTACAGGATGGAAAGGTAAATATTAAAGTTACTATGGGTGAATACATAACACAGCTACAAAAAACACAGTAAAATGGGAACTATTTTACAACTGGAATTGTCTGAAGTAAAGCTTAACTGACCTGATTTGATCATGTCACAATGTATACCAAGAGGAAAATATCACCTTGTACCCCACAAACACATATGATTATCATTTATCAATTAAAAAATAAAAATAAAGTATTAACTTTTTAAGGAGCAGATGGTCATTTTGAATATATGAATGCTACCAAGTGAATCTAATAGTGAAAACACCCTTCATTTAAATATCTGGTGATATATACTAAGCTCTTATTTAATACCTTATGGCATTGCCAGACTGACATTCAAATCTCAAGTCCTTATACACAAGATTCTAAATGCTAGTCTGGTAATAGCTGAATTAGAATTGTGTGAACAGCTTTAAAAAATATAGATCCTCTGGCTCTGTCTCCAGAAATTCTGATTCAGTTGGTGAAGGGTAGACATCTTTTTTTTTTTTTAATATTTTTAGTTGTAGATGGACACAATACCTTTATTTCATTTATTTATTTTTATGTGGTGCTGAGGATGAAACCCAGTGCCTCACACATGCTAAGCAAGCGCTCTACCGCTGAGCTACAATCTCAGCCAAGACATCTATTTTTAAAAAGCTCCCAGTTGTGGTAAAGAGGAGTTTCATTTCTTAATTCTTTGCTTCAGCAGAATCTAGGACATGGGATTGAGAGGGTGAGAAGAAAATGAAGAAATGCTTTGGACTTCACCTAATGCATTGGAGAAAAGCTCCTATTAATTTCTACCTTATAATAATGTCACTACAAACAATCACAGTTGAGATAAATTTCCATTTGATAAAAGTAATCCTCAGGAAAGATGAATTCTATGGGACATGGGCTTAGGGAACTAAATGAAAATAAAATTTTATATACCATACAATCCTATCCTGGTTAGAGAAGGGCCTATAGCATAGGAGGATCTATCCATTTCCCAGGTGGTTTAGTTTCTAATTAATAACAAAAATAATAAGAGGTCTCCTCTGTATTTCATAACTTTAGGAAAATCGTTTGGTTTGAATAAATAGCAAAAAATGGAAAAAAAAATAATAAGCGGCTCTATCTTAAGGAATATAATAGGAAAGAAAGAAATCAAATTATTACTATTTGCAGATGATATGGTCCTATATTTAGAAGATCCAAAAAACTCTACAAGAGTTCTAGAACTGAAAAACAAATTTAACAAAGTAACATGATATAAAATCAACACACAAAATTCAATAGATTTTCTATACACAAATAATGAACTCACTGAAAAAGAAAGCCAGGGAAATGATCCCATTCATAATAACTGCAAAAATAACAACAACAAGAAAAAAAAAAAAACACCTAGGAATAAATCCAACCAAGGAGAGGAAAGACTTCTATAATAAAAATTATAAAATAGGGGCTGAGGTTGTAGCTCAGTGGCAGAGCACTTGCCTAGCATGTGTGAGGCACTGGGTTTGATTCTCAGCACTGTGTATAAATAAATAAAATAAAGGTCTATTGATAACAAAAAAAAAATTTAAATTATAACATACTGAAAAAAACCATTTGAAGAAAACACTAGAAGATGAAAAGAACTTCCATGTTCTTGGGTAGGTAGAATTAATCACTAAACTGTCCATATTACCAAAAGTGATCTATAGATTTAATGCAATCCCCATCAAAATATCAAAGACATCTTTACAGAACTAGAAAAAATTGTCCTAAATTTCACATGGAAGAACAAAAGGCCCAGAGAAGCCAAAACTATAAAGAGCAAAAAGACCAATGCTGGAGACATCACAATACCTGATTTCAAATTATACTATGGAGCTATAATAACAAAAACAACATGATAAAACATAAAAATAGACACATGGAACAATGAAAGAGAGGACAGTGACAAACCCACATAGATACAGTCTCTGTTCCTTAACAAAGGCACCAAAAATGTACAATGGAAAAAAGACAACTTTAAAAAAAAAATAGTGCTGGGAAAACTGTATATCCCATACACAGAAGGAAACTGGATCCTCATTTTTCACCCTGCACAAGTCTATGCAAAGTGGATCAGACCTAGAAATTAGACCAGAAACTTTGCAACTGGTAGAAGAAAACATGGGGTCAATACTCCAGCAAACAAGTGCCAATATAGACTTCCTCAGGCATCACTGACTTCTAAAGCTCAGGAAATAATAGCAAGAATTAATAACAAACCAATTAAAATGGGCAAACTAAACAGATATTTCTAAATAGAAGAAATGCAAATGGTCAATGAATACACGAAAAAATGTTTAACATTTTTAGCAATTATGAAAATGGAAATCAAAACTACACTGAGATTTCATCTCACATGAATTGGAACAGCAATCATCAAGAATACAAATAATAATAAATACTGGCAAAGATGTGGGGAAAGGTAACATTTATACATCATTAAGTTATGGAACCAGTCCAAGTACCTTCCATGCATGAATGAAAAAAGAAAATGTGGTATACATAAACATGGAGTTTTACTCACTCATAAAGAAGAATGAAATTATGTCATTTGTAGGAAAATCAATGAAACTTGACAAAAACATGTTAAGCGAAAGAAGTCAAAGTCAAGGGTCATATGTTTTCTCTCATATTTGGAAGAAATATTTTTTAAAAAAGGAAGGGATAATAGCATAGAGAGGGAGAGAGAAGGGAAACGGGAGGAAATGAGCAATGAAATTGACCAACTTATGTTCTGTGTATACGCCAATCTATCACAATGAATTCCACTACTTTGTCACAATTATAATGTATCAATTAAAAAAAAAAAGACCCTAATTTTGCCCATACTTGACAACATCTCTCAGAAATGGTACAGTGAAGAAATGATTGGCAATGTTCCCCGCATTGAACAGCAGTCGTCCATCTGAACTTCGTTTTTGAGCTGTTGCCAGGGAAATCTCACTATATTCTACCACCTGGTATACTCCATCCACTCGGCAAACCACTCCAACTGGTTCTGTAGGGTTTGTTTTCTCTACCACCTGCCCAACAACAGAAAAAAAAAAAAAAAAAAGACAACATTAGAGGAAGAAATTTAATTAAATGCTCCTTTAGAGATTTTCCATTGTCAAAGGCCATATTTACAATTTTGCTTACATTGTAAGGTATTAACCCAAAAGGAATCTTTAATTTTAGAAAATCAACTACCCATAGTTTGACAAGCTATTTTCCAACTGGAAATTAAGTATATACATTATCTCCTTCCTATTTACCACTTAACCAAACTGGGATAGAAATATCATCATACATATATGACCCAGAGGTAATCATATAGGACTTGGCCCTAAGATATTTTATAGTTTTATTATTTATTTTCACCCATCCTCAACTACTTTGAGAATAAATAAAATTTCTCTAGGATTCACAAGACAAAAGACTTAAGTAAGGTATTTTGTCTCTAATTCTGTTCTGTCTACACCATTATTTCATTTTAACATAGTGTTTTTTCAATTTTCATTCATGAATGCAGCATTTTTCTTGTTTTTTATGAACTTGGATTAGAGCAGGCAAGTCATTGGGCTCCCACTCTAACTTTAAATCAGAAAAAAAAACTACTCATGTCTATCCATTTTGCATACTATGTTTTATTTGAAGTAAGAGATTCTAGGCTTTTAAAAAGTCTGAAAATGAGTGATTTAAATCATTTATCAATGGCCCTGGGCTAGTACAGCAACTGGGAGAAGAGTCTATCAAAATCAGAGAGAAAGGTAAGAGTATATCATTTTTAAAAAAATTCACAGGTGATTCTGATATGTCACACCATTGTCCCAACATTTCTGGCCCAAGTTAGAAGAAAATTATGAAAGAAGTGTATGCAATGCTCTAATATAAAATGAAGGTTGAGATGAAATGAACAGCCAACACAAGAATTAAACAATAAAGAATATTTGAAGGTATTGCTCTGTTTGCCCTGTCCAATTAATGATATAGCATGCTTTGGAGTATTTTTAAAAATCTGTATCCAATTGGGAAACTGTATTCTAGATACACATGAAATTATATCAATAAACTTAAAAATTCTCTTAAGCAACTGATTTCTTGAATAAACAGTGACTCACAGTTATTTCCAGACAACTAAAGCCACTATTGAAAACTTCGTTTACAAAGCAAATAGAGATATATGCACTGCATCTAGCTCAGTGAGGCAGGGCTACTGGATACATAAGCTCCTGTGTAGCTGCACTGTTTGCCAACCTGAAAGGGGCACAGTACTCAATGAAAAGAAACTTTTCACCAAGGAAGTGGATTAAACTGGAAGGAAACATACAGCAAAATTATTTAAACCAATTATTGATCTATTTCTGCCAATTATTTGTCTATCAGCCCATCATCACCTCTCATTTCAGGTACTATACAGTGGGTCTCTTACAGAACAGGGAATTTTGGAATAAATTCCTCTCATCCCAATTTTTAAAATGCACACAAGGGGACCTGAAATGTAGGTCAGTGATAGAATACTTGCCTACAACGTGCAATACTTTAGGTTCAATCCTCAACATCACACACGCACGCACGCACGCACGCACACACACACAATGCACACAGATTTCTTTTCCACTTGCCTCTATACACCCCTAAATTCAATCAGCCACGGAAATAAAAATAAGCATATTCACACTTTACATTTTACAAGTATTAATCTGCAGGCATAAGGTTTACTTCTATGGTAACTATTAAACTCCAAATATTATTATCTAAACTATACAAGAAAGCATTTGTATACTATATAAAGTTAGAAGTTAATTTATATTATAAGAAAAAAATACACAGTATAAAATCAAGAGGTTTGCTCAATAACCCATAAATTTAAATTTTAAAAGCAAATATCCATAACAGTTACTATAATTGCTTTATATAATTATCCTAACTTTTTAGCTTTGTACTTTTTAAACACTTTCAGTCCTTTCCAAGGCTCTTGTTCCACAGGAAAATACTTCATGCCATATGATAAGGGACTATTAAAGAAGTACTGCAAAGAATTCTATTCCAAAACTATGAATCCCTCCCTAATTAAGATGTTTTTCAATATACATTTTAACATCTTCATTTTCTTATTTAAAAAGGGGGAAAGAGAGCTCAATGGTTTCTTTTTTTTTTTTTTTAAATATTTATTTATTTTTAGTTTTTTTCGGCAGACACAACATCTTTGTTTGTATGTGGTGCTGAGGATCGAACCCGGGCCGCAAGCATGCCAGGCGAGCGCGCTACCACTTGAGCCACATCCCCACCCCTAATGGTTTCTAATATTTCTAAAAGTTTGACATATTTTGGTTCCAACTGAACATTTATTTATTAATTCATTGTTTGAGGACTACATTAAATGCCAGACACAGGACTAAGCAGTATGTATGAAAGGAAGACTGATTCTGAATTTATACCTGCAGATTAACACTTGTAAAATGTAAAGTGTGAATTTGCTTATTCTTGTTTCCCATGGCTGATTGGAATTAGGGGTGAACAGAAGCAAGTAGAAAACAAATCTTTTATGCATTGTGCGTGTGTGTGTGTGAGTGTGTGTGTGATGTTGAGGATTGAACCTAAAGCACTGCATGTTATAGGCAAGTATTCCATCACTGAGCTACATTTCAGATCCCGTTGTGTGCATTTTAAAAATTAGAATGAGAAGAATTTATTCCATGGGTAACGAAGAAGAGTGACAGGTTGGATCTCTACAAACATTAGCACGCTAGCCAAGTGTGTCTATAATCCAGTCACTAGGGAGGCTGAGACAAGATAATTCCAAGTTCTAGGCCAGCCTCAGCAATTTAGTGAGGCCCTAAGCAATTTAGTAAGACCCTATCTCAAAAGAAAAAATAAAAAGGGTCAAGGATGTAATTCAATGACCAAATAAGTGCCCCTGGGTTTAATCCCCAGTACTAAAAAAAAAAAAAAAAAAAAAAAGGTAGCACACTAGTTTAAAAAGTTATTTGAGCTACCAGCAAATGCAAAACTAGTCTGATGGTGGGCTGGAGTTGTATCTCAGTGGTAGAATGCTTTCCTAGCACATGTGAAGTACTGGGTCCTCAGCACCACATAAAAATAAATAAATAAAATAAGGACTTAAAAACAAAGAGTGTGATGGCATAATGTGACATACTAGACAAAGAGATGGGAAACTGAATTCAAATTCTGGCTCTGCTAATGTGTTAAAGGACCTTGAGACTGGGACTTAAAAAGTGTTGGAACTCAGGGTGCTTATTTCTGAGATTAAAAGGGTTGACTGGATCATCTCAAAGGTTCAACTCTTTTTGGTCATATAGACTTTAAAGTGATTATGAAGCTTATAACAATAAAATTAAGTTTCTGTTTTAGAACAAAGAGTGACACCAAGTGGAACAAAGTAAGAAATACACTTTTTTATAGCACAGTAGCTACTTATGACACAATATACTGCTTTTATTATAGTTTAGGAGCTATTTAAAATATATTGCAGATATTCAAAGTAGTGAATTGAAAAGATATCTTAAACAGATGAACTATGTTAAATTAACTCTTTTGTTTTCAGAGGCAGGAAGGGTGTTAGGCCTACCACTTTAATCTCTTTACATTTAAATGGTAAATTTAAAATTTCTCTTCTGGATTTGACTTTATATTAAATTTATATATAATTTAGAAAGAAATGACATCGTTATAATAGAAAATTCCAAGCAAGAATATGGTATGTCTTTTCCGGCAAATCTCATATATTTCAAACTTATATGTAGTCTAGTTGTTTTTGTTTGTTTGTTTGTTTTGTGGTTGTTGTTGTTTTGTCAGAGCATGTATGGTATCTGCTCTTTCTTTCACATCAAAATAATAAAATTATTCTAAACTTTCTCCTAATCCTTTTTTTTTTCATTTTTTCATATTTAAACTTGCAATCCATTTGAAAATAATTTTGGTATGAGCTTTGAGGGAGAGATTTACTTATTTTTTTGGCAATTATTTCATTCACTTCTACCACACTGATTTGAAATGCCAAACTTTTTGTTTTTTTAAATTAATCACTGTTATTTTATACATATTATGGGGTACAGTGTGATATTTAATATATGTGTACAATGTGCAATGATCAAATCAGGGTAGTTGGCATTTCCATCTCCTTAACATTTTTAAAAAATTTTGAGTAACATAATAATTATATGTGTTTATGAGATACAGTGTGATATTTCAATACATCTGTACAATGTGAATTGATCAAATCCAGGGAATTAATATTTCCATCTCCTTATCATTACTCATATTCATCCCAGTTAAAATGGCATTATCAAAAAGACAAAAAAGTTACAAATGCTGGTGAGGCTGTGCTGAAAAGCAAAGCAAATACTTGTATTAACATTGTTGGCAGGAATCAAATTAGTATAGTTATTATGAAGAACATTATGAAGTTTTCTCTAAAAACTAAAAATAGATCTACCATATGATCCAGCAATTCAGTTATTGGGTGTATCCAAAGGAAAACAAGTGTGTCAAAGAGATACCTGTGCTCCCATGTTCATGACTATAGTATTCACAATAGCTAAGATAAGGAACAGAAGGACATCAATGGATGAATGGATTTTCTTTAAACTATGGTATATATGTACACACATATGCACCAACATACATAAGTATATATAAATAAAAAATAGATATAATGAAATATTGAGAGAGAAAAGTAAAAGATATCATTTGCAGCAAAATGGACAGAACAGCAGGACATTAAAATGAACCAGAGAAAAACAAATACTACATGTTCTCTCTCATATGTACATTCTGAAAAGTCAATCTGAATGTAAAAGAGTGATTACAAGAGTGAAGGGAGGGGAGATGAAGGCAGGTTAAATAACAAGTACCAAAACACTAAAGGAATAAATTCTAGTGTTCTATAATGCAATGGGGTGACTTTTATAATGTCTATAATATATTTCATGAATAACTTAAGAAAAGCCTGAAATGCCATTTTTCTATGATGTGCTCTGTTTATGACTTGTCTATTCTAATTCCATTAATCTGTCATTCTATTCTGGTTTTAGTACCACACTCCTAGTCATATTTTATTTACAATTCATTTTAATATTTGATAGATTGTTTACAGTCTCCCACACCCTCCTTATTACCAATCTTTTTCAATATTTTCTTGGCCATCTTTACATATTTACTCTAAACTTTGTAATCATTTTGTCAAATGTCCCCAAAACAGTTTCACTTGGATTTTTTTTTTTTTTTTAAAGAGAGAGTGCGAGAGATAGAGGTAGAGAGAGAGAATTTTTTAATATTTATTTTTTAGTATTTGGCGGACACAACATCTTTGTTTGTATGTGGTGCTGAGGATCGAACCCGGGCCGCACGCACACCAGGCGAGCACGCTACCACTTGAGCCACATCCCCAGCCCTCACTTGGATTTTGATTGGGATTTTAATACACTTTATTTGATAAGAATGGATATCTTTATGGAATTCCAGAAATATACTGTTTATATCAATATTTTTAAACTTTTCAATGCTTTTAAGGTCTTGGATGTTTTCCATTTTATTCTAGCTATATTATATGTTTTGTCTGCTACCATAAAGGCATACCTCCTATATCATCAGCTGTGCAATTTTAAAAAGGTTGGAAAAAACAAAGCCAACAACAGAGTCTTATATATAAAATCACAAATCTTCCACCATCTTAATCATTATGTTTGTGATCAGTCCAGCAGCAATTAATCTCTTTAAACTGTCCTTCTCCCCAACCTGCTTATTTCCATTTTATTCACAAAAATATCATGAGATTCCATGTCAAATACCTTACTGAAGTTCAGATATGCTGTTTTTATCATATTTACCTACCTACTTACTATAGAAGTGGGTTAATCTGGTTGAATACAACTTGATACTAATGAATCCATCCCAGGTCTAGTGATAAATCAATCATTCACTTTCCCAGGTACTTAACAAATTATCCTCACATATTTTAAATTCTTACTTGTATCTGACAATTATACAACACTATTTCTCAAATAAAGTATCACAAATTAAAGAAAAAAAGTGGGTGGGAGATAGTTTAGTCATTTGAAAGATGAATGATTCTAAAATATTCAAACCACCCCAAGAAGCCTAGTTCGACTCCTGGAATGTTTATACTGATAGAGAAAGACTACTTATAATCTTGTTATAATTGAAAAGGCATTACCTTTGCCCCACAGTCTGCTCCTTTCTGAATGCAAAATCCAATGAACCGTGGGTCTGCCACTTTTACCAATATGTTGTCCACACAATAGACATGAATGCTCCAAATACCTCTTTGCTCCATATCCTCCACAATATTATGGGCTGCAAGGGCCCGATAAAGACCACCATTACCATCTAAAAAATAAAATAGTCCATTAGTAGTACACCAATCCCATTATGAGGGTAACCCAAAGATTGTTTAATGTTTCCAACTGGGATGGAGATCTTTGAAAAACAGTTTCACATTACAGAGCCAAGAAAACCGAATAACCATACAGAAGAATTTAGGCGTTAAAAAGTCATTACATGATTTGGAAGGCTATTAAGCGAAAATATCCATACAATAACATTATTAATAGGACCAGGCAACCCCAAAGACCATGTTTCTTTTTAACTCAGCTCCTTTTAATAACTTAGCCTATAATATATTGTGCAACATAAAATTCTCAGGCAATGATAACTTTATAACATATCAAGTTTTATTAACATTTATGAGATTCAAATTAGGTCTCTATATATGTCTCTGACATGGGCTATCTATGTTATACATCTCCAAAATGTTTATACCAAACCACTAGTTAACAAATCAGACTGATGTGAAGATCTATGGTAATTTCAGTACAGGTAAAAGGCTCTTCTTTTCTCCTCTACTTTTAGTGCTGCTTTAATGTTCTTCTTTCATCAACAACCTTGGCCATTGCTTAAATAATAACAAAAAAAATCTCACAACTTCCCAAAATAAAGCTAAGAATAAACAGGAAACTCTTTCATTAAAAGAATTATGATTTTTACATAGAAAATTAAGATGAAATAAAAGCCTGCATCTGGAGAGCACCATTTTTAGTACTATTATTTCTTCTCTTCCAACTATGGTCTCACATAGATATAAACTTATCAATAGGCTTATTTTTTATTTATTTTTAATTTAATTTTATTTGTTTTTCTTACTGTCTTACATGACAGCAGAATCCATTTTGATAAAATTATACAAGCATAGGATTATATCTTATTCTAATTAGAATCTCATTCTTGTGGGTGGGCATGATGGTGGGGTTCATACACATTTTCATATGTGTACATAGGAAAATTATGTTAGATTTATTTTTATAGTTGTGATCATACTCAAGGTCACTGTATGTGGCTACATAAGTGGTACCCTGACCTATTGTAGTGGGTACCACCAACAAACCACAACGTGCACACACTAAGTTGAATTGTACAAAGCTATGGCCTTAACCACATTTTGTATGCAGTTCTGTCTGTATTTTTGTTCTCTTAATCTATTTAAATGACTTTTCTCTATTGCTTATTATCTCTAAACAATAATTTTAATGCTACTTAAGAATTAATGCCATTTAAAACTATAATTTTGCCTCTTATTTATTAAACAGCAGGTGTTTTCCAATTTTTCACCACAATAACATAATGTTGCCAATGACACTACTATATATGTAAAACACTGGGTAAAGAGAATAAATATCCTGAATGCTGTTCAAATTCACTCCAAGTCAGATGTCTACACAAAGCATGTATCCATTCTACCAATGGGCATTTCCATCTTTTTAAATCATTGCCAAGTTGCAAAAAAAAAAAATTAATTCTTTTTTTAAACATCCAAATCAAAAGGAAATAAAAATTTCATGATTTATGCTATCAGTATTTCTAGTCATCAATAAATAAGGATGATTACAAACCTGGAGCCATAGAAACTTTGTTCTTCTCTTCTAAAATAATTTTCCCATCAAAACTCATAGCAGGCAGCATTCCCTGCTGAAAAAAGACTACATTCTCTTTTTTTAAACCAAAGTACTTGTGCTTTGTGAAAAATTCCTTTGTAGATTCCATTGTTCTGCCACTGGTCATTATATACCTTACAAGAGAAGAGTACAAGATTCTCTAAGTAATAGTAGAACCATGAGAATTAGGGCAAAGTAAAGTTTTATCTATTTACTGAGCTAAAGAAAAATTTTGAGAGCACTTGTTTCTTATTTTATCTTCCTTTGTCTTTTTCCTGAGTAAGACAAATTCATTAGCTACTATTCAAGAGGAATTCCTCCAACAATTTTATGCATAAGCATAAAATAAATCTATATAATAGTAAAAACACTTTTTCTAACAGAGAATCTACAGCTAGGTAAAATATTTAGAACTCTGTGAAAGTATATTAAATTCAAAGCTTTTATTATAGGGGCTGGGGATGTGGCTCAAGTTGTAAGATCTTGAGTGAGTTACTTGATCTTTTGTGCCTATTTCTTCTCTGGCTGGGTACATAATGATATCTTTGTCTATGATTAAGGATTCTGTAAAGCTTATGCTAATGTTTGGGAAGGCACAATGTCTGTCAGAAGGTTGTCTTAGGGGCTGGGGATGTGGCTCAAGTGGTAGCGCGCTCGCCTGGCGTGCGTGCGGCCTGGGTTCGATCCTCAGCACCACATACAAACAAAGATGTTGTGTCCGCCGAAAACTAAAAAATAAATATTAAAAAATTCTCTCTCTCTCTCTCTCTCCTTAAAAAAAAAAAAAAAGCTTTTATTATAAATAAATAGGGAGAAGAGATAACTGCCATGCAGTCTAATGATCTCTCATGCTTCTTTTTTTCAAAGAACAAATACATTTTTATTATTTATTTATTTTAATTTGTTATATATGATGGCAGAATGCAATTCAATTCATATTACACATATAGAGCACAATTTTTTATGTCTCTGGTTGTACACAAAGTAGATTCACACCATTCATGTCTTCATACATAGGGTAATGATGACTATCTCATTGCACCATCTTTCCTACCCCTATGCCCCCTCCCTTCCCCTCTCTCCCCTTTGCCCTATCTAAAGTTCCTCCATTCCTCCCATGATCCCCCCTAAACTTTTGCCCCCACCATCCCCATTATGAGTCAGCATCCTCATATCAGAGAAAACATTCGGGGTTTGGTTTTTTGGGGTTGGCTTACTTCAATAATACTTCAATAATATACTCCAACTCTACTCATTTACTTGCAAATGCCATAATTTTGTTCTCGTTTAATGCTGTATAATATCCTATTGTGTATATATACCACATATATATTTTCTTGTGTTTCTTTATTTTATTAAAAATTTTTTTGTGTCTTTGTTTTATTTATTTATGTGGTGCTGAGGATCAAACCCAGTGCCTCATGCATGTGAGGCAAGTGCTCAACCACTGAGCTACAACCCCAGCCCTTATTTTATTAAAATTTAAAATGGAATTTAGGATTTGTCGCCTTCCATTTAGAATCATAAAAGTATAATTATACATTATATTGTCACAAAAATTCAATTTATGCTAGTATGGCAAAGGAGAAAAAAATTCCATCTAAAACCATGATTAAGTAACTATAGTAGTTTGGGGCCTTTACTATAAACTACATGTAAGTAGGGATTTTTGTTGTGATGACTGATTAATCCCCAGCACTTAGGAGTAGGCACTCCATTAATATTTCTTAAATGAATGAAGGTATGATTCTCCCCACAGTAAATAATTTGGGTATTTTGAACCTTGGCACAAAAAACTGGGGAATGATTTAGATGATGACAAAGAGGTAACTAACTGCTTGGCATAAGAAAACAGAAATTCTGAGTTGTGAGAAGATGGAAGAAAATCCAGCATGACTGATGTTAGGAGGCCAGGGGCATTAAGTAGAATGTTGACTGCTTAGAACACAAATGTCCTTCAAAAAACTTCCACAGGAATCAAGATGAGGAAAAAAAAAAAAAAAAAGACAGCAGGCCAGTACTTACATTGAGAAGAGCTAAAAAATCTGAAGGGGAAAAAAAATATCTTCAAAGGCATCAGAGAGCTGCAGAAGCAACACAGATTGGATCTAAAGTCCCAAAGAGGAAGAATCTTTCAAAGGGGAATTAAGGATATCCAGCTGCCTTGTCCTCAGAGTTTTGTTGATTTTGTGGTAGAGTGTCTGCATTTGGACCAAAAGCTACTGCTAAGGACAGAGAAGAGAACCAGCAGAGCTTTTACTGGTCACATGAGACTGAAATAACAAGATTAGACTTGAGAGATATCAAACACACAGCTGGTTTCCCCCTCAAAATGTACTAACTTCCAAAACTACCCTGGGAAAATAATTCAAGAACTTCTAAAAAGAAGGGCAGAATTTCCTGTAATCTCTTAGTGCTTAGAATGCCAACACTGACCAAAGTAGAGGGTCTGAGAATATGTCATACACTAGTGGAGGCCGAGAACACCAGTTTGACCTACAGCAGAGAAATCAATGTAGCTTTCCATCTGGTGTGTATATGGAAAAAATGGGGTGGGGGAAAACTAGATAACCTGATACTTAAGGATATTAGTTTCTATACTCAGAGAGCCACCCAGAACAGTGACTGAAAATAGACCCATACCATGTCATCATGAAATGTCAGCTATTAAAGGTATAAAGAGAGCCTAAATGCTTTCAAATTAAAAAAAAAAAAAAAAAAAAAAAAGACTGGGAATCAAAATGGCAAAATGGCATAGATATTATAGCAGTACTGTAAATAAAGCAATGCCCTCAAATTCTGAAGAAACTCATTTCTTTAAAAAAAAAAAAATTCTATACCTAGACAAACTATCAATCAGTATGAAGTTTCTACACTAGAAGAGTCCACAGAGTAGGTCCCTTCTTAAAGGTACCTCTAAAGGTACTTGGGAATATAAAAGTTAGAAGTGAGTAGACATTGTTAATTAAGGCCATAGAGGTCATCTATCTAGCTATAAGAAGTACTAATTCTTTTTAAAAATGTTTTTAGTTGTAGATGGACACATTCTAACATATACAGTAAAATATACCTCCCAAGAAAATCAGAAATAATAGAAAATGTGTCTGCATATGAATAAGGTGTGCAGGCATTTTGAATATTGTAAAACAATATTTGTTCAGACATTCCCATGAGACATATCTTACCATGGAATGATGCATTTGTTGCCATGATATTTTTCAGCTAACTGCTGTAGCTTCAGGATACGTTCTGCTTGAATCTGAAAAAGTGTCTTATGGGATGGCAACCCAACATCATACATCCCCTTGGGATATGCAACTCCAAGTCTTGTCCCCTGCCCACCGGCTAGAAGAAGAACTGCTACTTTGCTCTGAGAAATCTGGAAAAGTCCTAGAAAAGAAAACACTTGTATCAAAAAACCTCTATAATTCAACATACAGAGGTATTAGCAAAAACATACCCAATCTAAGGCATGAAGAACAAGGAATCTACAAAGAATCATGAATGACTATCTTGTTAATAAAAACATTTTTATTATTAAAACAATTAAATTTATGCAAATCAATCAATCACCAAAAAATGAATGATATACTTTATGAACTAATAAAAATTTCTTCTAATAACATGAGGAGACAAGGAGTAAGAGATGTTATAAAGGTTTTGTAAAAATTTATCAGATGTGGCAAATCAAGAAAAAGATAAAAGAAGATACCAAGTTTTCAGGACATATTATGATGCTATTAAACTTCCTCCAAAAAAATTACTTCCAGCCTATAAATCTATCAAAAATAATTAATCAATAAGCATGCAAATACACTAGGCAAGCTACTACCCTATATACGTCAGAGAAAAGAAACTTTCAGTTGGGAAAGCAGTAGAGTGAAATGGTTAGGACCCCAGGCTCTGAAGTTAGAATACATGGGCTGAAACCTCACTAAAATGAATGAAGCTTGGGGAATTACATACAAAGGGCATTAGAAGACTTCGTAGGGTGTGGGAAATACTCTAAATCTTGATTGAGGTGATAGTTGAATAGGTGAATATGTTTGTAAAAATATAAAATTATCCATAGTATTGTATGCAATTATATTTTAATAAAATTTGGGCTGGAGGTGTAGCTCAGTGGGAGAGCATTTGCCTAGGATATGCAAGGCCCTAAGTGCAATCCCCTATGCAGCTCAATAAACAAATTTTGTAAAAATGTTTTTAAAAGTGGGCCATATTCAGTATTTCAGAAAATAATGAGATTCAGAGTCTTTTCATGACTAACAGTTCTTCTGTCTAGAATCTGTCATTTTTCACCAGTTGAATATTCAGCAATAAGTACTATTCAAACAATGCTTGAACAAAAATGTTATTCTTTGAACCAAAATGAATTCAAGATAGATTAAAAATCCAAATGCAAACAAATGAAACTAGAAAAGCTATTGTAAGACAGAGGCTGTCAGTTTGGATTAAAAAAGAAACACCAATATCTACTATATTCCATTTCTAAGACCCATTTTTTCACTTAAAGGTGTACAGTCTCAGCATCAAAAGGCAGAGAAATTTGTCGGGGGAAGAGGCTGAATGAAAACTGGGTCTCTGGCAAGCAAGAAAAACTATAAAATGTAAGATAAGATTAAAGCAATGGTTAGTTTATGTTCTAATTTTTTGAATTTCATGCTTTCATTAAAATTTTTAGAAATTTCTGTGAAGAAATGTGGCCACTGGCCATAACTGTAAACCACCATTAATTAGAGTCAGCCCTCTGTATCTGCAGGCTCTGCATCCATGGATTCAACCAACTGTGGATCAAAAATATTCTAAGGAAAAAAAGAATTGTGTCTGTACTAAATTTGAACAGACTATTTTTTTTCTTGTCATTATTCCCTAAACAATATAGCATAAGAACTATTTACATAACATATACACTGTATTAGGTACTATAAGTAATCTCAAGATGGTTTAAACTATATGAGGGGATGTGTGTAAGATATATGCAAATACTATACCATTTTATATAAGGAACACAAGCATCCAAAGATTTTGATATCCAAGGAGGATCTTGGAATGAATCTCCCACAGATACCAAATCCTCAGGTAATGTGGGTTGATCGAATTTATGCTTTATGTATTTTGTGTTTTATGTATTTTTTTATAACAGGTTTTCTTAAAGATAATATAAAAGCAATGTGAACTTAAACACTAAATCCACTATAAAATTTGAGGTGTTAGTCCTGATCCTACAATTTTTTTCATTAGCACATATCTATAGCAACTATTCCAACTATTTGATTGGCGGGGTGGAGGTGGGGGTTACCAAAGATTGAACTCAGGGGCACTTGACCACTGAGCCACATCCCCAGCCCTATTTTGTATTTTATTTAGAGACAGGGTGTCATTGAGTTGCTTAATGCCTAACTTCTGCTGAGGTTGGATTTGAATTCATGATCCTCCTACTTCAGCCTCCTGAGCCGCTGGGATTACAGGCATGCACCACTGTGACCAGCTATTCCAGCTATTTTTTAATGAAAGAAGTTTAAAAGAATATTATATATTTTCATAATTTTTACCTTTAATCTGAAGTTGACCTTAGATATTGGGATTTAATTTTCTCTTTCTTCCTTAACTAGAATCAGAATTTTCCTTATTATTAACTTCACAGCATTTACTTGTACGGTAACAGTTGAATATAAGAAAATAACTTTAAAACTCAAAATAAGATATAATACTCTCAATTTTAGAGACAAAATACTCAGAAAAGTTAAGTCTTGCCCAAGGTCACATAGCTAGTAAATGTGAATCAAGATTAGAAACTCACAACAGGACCTATTCACTAAACACCATACTGCCTCCCACAGTCTCTTACCACGTCCAAATATTTAACGCAGGTATTACAGTACTATAATTTTTAGATGTGTAAACTTCCTTCCTAATTCTGTTGCCCTTTCTTCTCTTTTCCACTGAATTCATGAAAGACTGCCCACATTTTGTTTTTTTAATCTCTTCTTACCCACCATCCTATACAGAAAAGCTGTTGAATAAGAAAGAGCCTACATTCTCTAAAACTTCCCAAACACTATTTTTTTTTTTTTTTTTTTTTTGGTCCCTTGGTGTGCTTTTTGGGATTGAACCAGGACCTCACACATGCTAGGTAAGCAATTTGCCACTGAGTTACAACCCAGTCGTAAACACTAAAACTTTATTCTAGATTTATGTCTACCTTAAGCAAGCTCCATAATCCCCATGTAACAAAACCTGAATGAAATGAAGGGAGCAGGGAACCATATAAGACAAATATGAAAACTGTTTAACACTGGGTTATTCCCTGAGTTATCAGAAACTATGTTTCTAGGGAATAAATTAATTCTGCTATAATTGATCCACAAAGCATTATTTTAAAGTACAAATCCACAGTCTCTTGGGTTGGAATTGTTTCTGAATGCAAAACTCTTCAAAATTTAGAAAATATGTATTGAGGAAATATATAATAACATTTTATTATAATTACATTCCCAGCAGTTCTGGAATGACACCCCATGATCAAATTAAATGAGATAAATAAATATAAATAGCCTCGGGTCTCTTCAGGTCAATTTTTCCTCCAAAATAGATTTTGTACCATTTCAGAATAACATATAGAACTGCAGTCTGTCTGAACACTCAGATACCACCAAAGGTATTAGAATCAGAAATATTTCTGAACATCATTTTAAAAAGCTACAGGTAAATATTTTGAATATCGTGACTTTGGTTCTTTTTGTACTACATATTTGCCTCATGAGCACATGTTGTAAGTTGTTTTACCATTAATGGGGCTCTTGACAATCTTCTGGACTTTTTATTTTAAATTATTTCCCTTAGCTATCTTACCTGAAAAAAGTAAAAGCCACTCTTCTACAGTCCGTGGATCAGCACCTGCTCCCTAATGCCATTGAACACCAATTCAGTGATTTCCATAGGTTCTAACCAGTTATCAAAATATCCCTGCATAAACTTTTCTCTTCTTTGGATCAGTTCCCTCAAGTATTGCTTCATTCCAATTTCCCATTCTTTTCAGTTTTAAAGTTTTCCTAACCAGCAATTCACACTGGCTTCATTTATTCAAACAAGTAACGTGTTAGTTTCTACACTTTCTTCTTTCTACCTGTGGGCCTAATAACTAATCTGGTCACCACTACTTAAAACTGGCATTGAGATTATGCCCACCAGGTGTACACCTCCAGATAAACATAAATTTACATCTTAGCTCCATCTAACCACAAATATTATAAAGAATTATAACACAATCTGTACACATTTGTGCCAAAAAAGCTTTTGCATTAATATCTTCCTGCCGATGCACCTCACTTAGGAGTAGACAGAGAAAAACAAGAGGGAAGAAAGCAGTCTCTGGAGTATCAGAGTGGCATTTTCAAAAATAGACACAGCTACATCTGTTGTCTACAGTATAAAATTGCATGTACACTGGCTAAAGTAGTCATCTACTTCAGTATAAAATAAAGCTGCAATGTTTATCAAAAGCATATAACAAATTAGTATGTCTTATAATGACAGATAAAATACCTATTAAAATTAAGTGGACCAATAAAATTCAATACGCTTTTTTGTTATATGGCAATAATACACTATTTCAAACTGTATGTGTCAGAACATAAATTTTGTATGGGAGCATGATGAAAAATGAACTGATTATGCCATTCTATTTGTCTTGGAAAAATTAATTAATATACTTGGCCAATATGACAATTAGGAAATTATGAATGTCTCCTATTCTAAAACAACTTCTGTACATGTATGAGAAAACCTGAAAAGTTTCAGGTTATCATCTTTTTCATCTCTCCATTATAGAATGTAAGAGTTAATAACTTTCCTACAGGGGGGACTTCAATACAGATCAAATAACAGGTTTTAAAAAAGAAAAGAAATGAAAATTTAAACCACAGTGAGACATTTTCTTAGCAGGAATCTCTCTCTCTCCTTGTGTTGTGGGTCCAAGAGCATTTGAGTGCTTTTCCTGATAATACTTACAAGAGTTTACAGTAGACTATAAGAGATCAGATGTTTCCTAGATAATTTCCTGCTTGCACAAGTTCCTACCATATACTTCACAGTACACTTTAACCTGGGCATGTGTCTGAAACAAGGAAGGTAAATAGCATAGGTGCTTCTGAAGGCTGCCAGAACTTTCTTTAAATTATCAGCACTCCAAGACATTAGAATGGTATCAAAAGGCTATTCAACTAGTGGAAATAAATGAAAGCTTTTCCAAAAAAGTTAGTCAGAGGAAATATTTTAAAGTCTTTAAGTTTTAATTACACAGTATGGCTGAAACTGTTTCCCCAAAATGTTAAGCACAAACACAAACTAATCAGTGAACTCTCTATTTGAATCAACCCATTTTAGACATGAGAGAATTATTATAGATTATTATAAATTTTATTAGGCTTAATAACAGCACTGTAATTAGTAAAAAAAAAACACGTATATAGAGATATATACTGAACTATAAAAGGGTAAAAATCACAGATGTTTAAGATTTGCCTTAAAATAGTGCAGCAAAGAGAAAAGGGATGAAAAAGAGGGGTAGATAAAGCAAAAGTAGCAAAAAATAATTTTTAAACAAGGCAGCATATGGGAGTTAATTATACACATTTGTATCTGAATATGGTTGAAATTTTTTATAATAAATTCTTCAGTCAACTATACAAACAATTATGTCAATTGTGCTTATGTGTGTGTGAGTGTGTGTTTGAGAGAGAGAGCGAGAGTGAGCGAGAGAGAGAGAGAGAATATGATAAAATTACTAGTAAGTATTATCTCTGGTTTGTAGGATGGAAGAGATCTTGTATTTTTTTCCTTTGTAATTTTCAGTGTTTTCCAATTTTTCTAAAATAAGCATATATTACTTGTATTATTACAAATCTATTAAGACTATCACTACACTATAATTCAGAAAATGTAGAAGAAATAATGTCATGAATGCATTTCTTCTAAACAATCCAATTGCTTTTCTACTATAATATTATATGGTAAAGAAGCACAATTATATTAAGAAAATGTGGTGTGTCTACACAAGGGAGTTTTACTCAGACACGAAGACAAATGAAATTGTGGCATTGCCAGTAAATGGATGGAAACGGAGAATATCATGCTAAGTGAAATAAACCAGACTCAGAAAATTAAGGGTCAAATGTTTTCTCTCTTGTGCAGAAGCTAGAGTAAAAGAAGGGGGAAAACAGGGGAAATGAATATCATAAAGATACAGGAAAGATCAGAGGAATAGAAGACTGAGGAGGGAGGATGGACAGGAAAGGGAAGGAAATGAGAAATGAATTTAACAAAATCACGCTATGTGCATACTCTAATATACCACAGGGAAATCCACCTTTATGTATATGGAAAAAGCACCAATCAAAAATGAATAAATAGATAAATCAGTAAAAGGAAGATCAGTAGAGTAGAGGAAGAAAGGAGGAGGGAGAAGGGGAGGGAAAAGCAGGGGGAACAGGGATTAACGTAGTAAATCAAATTCCATCCATGTATGACTTTGTCAAAATGAATCAAACTACTATGTAGAATTATAATGTGCTAATATTTTTTTAAAAGCATCATTATGGGGTCGGGGTTGTGGCTCAGTGGCAGAGTGCTGGCCTAGCAGGCTTGAGGCACTGGGTTCGATCCTCAGCACCATATAAAAATAAAATAAAGGTACTGTGTCCATCTATAACTTTAAAAAATCTAAATAAAAAAATAAAAAGCATCATTATGATTAATAGGAAAATTTTATAGGCAAAAAAAGACTAACACTGAACAGAATTATTTTTTAGAAACTTTTTACTCAAATAAATATGCATTCATCTTAATAAAGAATGGGGGGTGGTTATTAAGCAAATACATTTTCCCAGTGTATCTTTACCAAAATGATATTCTTTTCAAAGCTTCTAATTACTTCTCGTGCAGATCTCAGCTTTAAAAAATAAAGATTTTCCAGTTATTCTTCTTCATTCCATTGCTTACACCTGGCCATAAAACTTCAAAAACTACATTTAAGCAAGATCTCTGTTCAATAAGAAGGTTACCTTGGTATTCATCCTTCAGAAAAAAAAGAATTCTTCACCCTAGGTTTAAAATGTCCACTATCATCTCAATAACCAGAAGATGTTTTTAAATGACTGTACAAGGCCTTTTCCCCATCCAGAAGAAAAATAGTTGTCCTTCATTCGATTACCAGGATTTTCTTACTATCTGAAATATAATAATCTTCACAATGACCATCTCTTCTCTTTGAGGATCTACTGTAGGATCTTTATTTTGTTACAAATTCATATACACATAGTAATTTCTGGCTAAGTAAAAAGAATATAATGTCAGCTACAAAGTCTCCTTCTCCACTCTTTACTGTGATTAAGCCACATAAATATTTAGCTTGAAAACAAGCCAGAAGGAAGTTTGCTTTGCACCTTCTTATGATACACCTTGGTACTAATAGTTCTGGATTATAGTTTAAATGGAAAGTCATAAATGTAGACAAGTTCTACAGATTCCAACCAAAAGATCATAAAAAAAGATTCAAATTACAGGAGGTCCTGATTGTTCCTTGCAGCCATTACACAAAAATCAAAAGTTTTGACTTTCCATAAAAGTTAATACTAAGATTTACCTTTAAAATTACAAGGTGAAATATAGGCAGCTGGAATAACAGAGGTAACCCAAGGAAAGAAGGAAGTGGATCTCAAGAAAGGAAATTATAATATCACCAAAACTTTCCATTCACAAGGATTCATCTGAAAGTCATTCTCTCACATCTTAGTCACAGAGTCATTGTTTAAGTAAGGCACTAGATTAGCCACCACCAAGCATTTTAGATATGAAAGGCACCTCCTTGAAGAACATCCAATTATTTTCAAACTGCTTTTTTAGTGTGTTCTATATACACAATGGAGTATTTCTCAGCCTTTAAGAATGACTTCCTGGGCTGGGGTTGTGGCTCAGTGGTAGAGCACTTGCCTAGCATGTGTAAGCCACTAGACTTGATTCTCAGCATTACATAAAAATAAATAATTAAAGTTATGTCCATCTCCAACTAAAAAAATATTTTAAAAAAACAAAACAGAATACTTTATAACATTTGCTACTAACTGGATGGAACTGGAGACTATCATACTCAGTGAAATAAGATAGTCCCAAATCCAAAGGTGAATGTTTTCTCTGATATGAAAAAGCTAATCCAAAATAAGGTGGGAGGCGGGGTGTGAAAAAAAGAATAGAAGAAAGGTCAGTGGAGCAGACAAAGGGGAATAAAGGAAAGTGAGGAGGGATGAGAAAGAGAAAGACAGTTGAATGAATCTCACATAACATTCCTATGTACAATTATGAATATACCACAGTGAATCTCACCTTCATGTACATCCACAAGACACTAATTTTAAAAAATACATAAGTAAATAGAAGAAAAACCAGTAGAATAGAGGGAAGAGAACAGGGGGAGGGAGGAGAAGAATGGAAGGGGAAGTACTAGAGACTGAATTAGAACAAATTATATTCCATGCTTTTATAATTATGTCAAAATAAATTCTATTGTCAGTAAATTTGTGAGCCTAGAAAAAGATACAGTCAAGTATATAAAAGGTTAATAATATCAGTTATCTTTCTTTTGCGGGCGGGCAGGATGAGATGTAGGACACCAAAGACTGGAAGAAAAACAGACATGGTATGGTGCAAATAAAGATATGATTACATCTAAAATTACTGCACATCTATCAAAGGAAACATATACAACTGGGCTACGAATATAGTTCAGTGGTATAGTGCTCAGTCAACATATGCACTGCAAAATCCCCAGCACTGCAAAAGAAAAAAAAAAATTTACACTCAACATGTATACAACCAAGTGCCAGGTGGTGATATGAAAAAATAAAAACAGTTCAAAATGGATTTGATGAAATTATAGACAATTTCTGTTATTTTGATACTAGCTTCTGCAATAAAGTAATGCATTTTTTTTTAGAGAGAGAGAGAGAGAATGAGAATTTTAATATATATATATATTTTTTAAGCTTTCAGTGGACACAACATCTTTGTTTATATGTGGTGCTGAGGATCGAACCTGGGCCGCACGCATGCCAGGCGAGCGCGCTACCGCTTGAGCCACATCCCCAGCCCAAGTAATGCATTTTTTTTTTTTAATTTTTAATATTTATTTTTCAAGTATCGGCGGACACAACATCTTTGTTTTGTATGTGGTGCATGAGGATCGAACCTGGGCCGCACGCATGCCAGGCAAGTGTGCTACCACTTGAGCCACATCCCCAGCCCCCCAAGTAATGCATTTTTAAAAGAACAGAAAATTATTAATCCAATCTGCTCAATCACAAATGAGGAAATGAAGCCAAGATTGGACAAAAAGCGTGCACAAACACTCAAGGGCCTTGGCTACAATGTTTAGTCAACCTTTTACTTTTCAGAGAATAGTAGATTATATCCACAGCTCTTAACTCTACCTTTTGTATTTTGCTATTCTCAAAAGAATGTGTGTTAAATCCCCAAGCAGAAGAGCCACTGCACTCCACAACTCCAAGAGATGACTTTCCCAGGTGACCCACCTAGGTAGAGAAAGGGCAAAGACCAGACCAAGGTTGGATTAATATGAGCAAAGACAGAAAGGGCATAATGTAATGTTCAGGAAAAGGGGAATTATTTGGTTCATTTAAATGTGTGGGAGTAGGAATGGGGAGAAACAGGGAAGAAAAATGGGACTGAAAATATAGGCCAGGGACAAGTTAGGGAAGATTTTTCAGATTAAACCAAATTAAATTGAAATGTTTAGTTTTTTTTTTTTCCCCTCAGAGGAAAAAAGACAGTGGAGGTATAGAAATTGAGAAACCAAAGAGACTTTTCAGGCAAATTAAGACTTAAATGAGAAGAGCCTTAAATGGGACATAGAAATGAAAATGAAATACAAGGACCAGCAATGAGAGATGTTGCTGATATCCTGGCAAGATTATTTGTCACTTTCTGGTCAGTCACCTGGTTTAAGGTAGTATGAGAGTTAAAATGTTAGTTACATGATCCAGCTACTTTAACATTTTAGTATGTCTCTAATAACAAGTAAGATATGCTCAGTACCTTCACTTTCCCAGGCGTGGAGCTGATCTTGATCCCTGGTAGCACTGCCCAACACTTCTCGGGGAACAGGCTCCATTCGTGCATCCACTTTCTCTTGGTGAGAGGACTGGTTAAATCCTTCAATAGCCTTTTGGAAAAATAAGTTCAACTCCTCAAAGTTCATGGCCTGGAGTTCAGCATAAAGTTCTACCTGTTGGGTTTCTTCCAATTCATTCCAGAACTGTAGCAGGTGTTCTTGCCCAGCTCTGGACAACCTGAGTTTGAGGTCATTAACATTCATAATGCTCTGGTAACCAACCTCTGTGAAAACAGGGGTATAATTTCTGCAACTGCAAGCCTAAAAAAGAAAAGGGATGAACAGCAGGTCAAAGTCCAACCTTCAAACCTAAGGGGTTTTTTCCCTACTAAATTAAGTACAGATATGCACTGTATATCGATGTTTTGGTCAACGACAGACTGATATGACAGTGGTGCCAAAGATTATATCACCTAATGACATCACTGCCATCTTCATGTAAGTACACTCTGTGATGTTCACACAATGACAAAATAGGCTAACAACACAATTCTCAGAAATGAATTCACATCATTAAACTACACATATCTATAATTTAAAAAAACCTGATATTAAGAAAATTAATTTCTGTCCTTCTGTAGCTCAATATTTGTAAGGGAACAGACATGTAAAAGAACAACAATTAGCATTATGTACCAGACATAAAGTACTTTACCTACATGGTCTCACTTAATTTTCAACAACTCCGTGGCACACATACTATTGTTATCACTATTTACAGTACAGGAGACTGAAAAGACTGAAGCACAGAAAGGTTAAGCAACCTAGCGAGTTGGTGGAATGGGATGTGAACCTGAGCAGTCTGATTCCAAGGGCTCACACTCTGCCACATTTAAGTCTTTGAACTATTCCTCTGACCACTAAGCTACCAGTCAACACGTGAGCTATTCTCCTTTTAACTCTAATGATAAAAATAACTGTTGTTGCATTCAGAACACAGCAATATTCAAGAATAGAGAACTACTTATGATCATGAAAAATACATTTCAATTCAATAGTCACTTCTGCAGAGAAGCAATGAAAATATGTCCATTATCTCTATTCACTAAAAACTTGAATCCAGATTCAAGAGACACACATAACAATTAGAGAAAGAGACGATTTTTATTTTTTAGAGTATTCTATGACCAAATTCAGGTCAAAAGAACCTACAAGTGTGTCCTCTGAGGTGTAATAATACAGCATGTACAGCCTTTCCAACAAGGGAAGATCAATGAATGCCGTATCGCCCACCTGTAGACAGGGACATAAAAAGTCAAAACAGAAGCTGTAGCCCCAGAAGACCACAGGCACTCTGGAAACCCAGTTCATCTGCACCTTCTGCAACCATAAGAAGTCTCAGGATACGAAAACGGACCATACCCCGACACTGAGGTTATCTCTTGTCCCATGTGCCTAGAGGAATTCCAGATGCCCATCACAAATCAGATTTTAGAATAAAACAGAAGTGACTTTCATTCTAGGCTCTGCTGCCTAAATCAAATAAAAAAATGTTTTCAACTTTGTATCTTCATCTATTAAGTGAGAATAATAAAAATTTCTTCACAAATTCAGAGACATAACTTGAATAATCCTTACAAACAGAAAATGAAACACAAGTAACTTAAATAATTTGCCCAAGATTTTATAACTAGTGGGTAAAAAAACAGGAATTTAACACCAATCTACCTTACTCTAAAAATCTATGCTCTTTCCACAATAGATCTTTCATAAAAGTAGAGGAAATACTGCCAGGTGTGGTAGTGCAAGCCTGTAATCCCAACAGCTCTGGAGGCTGAGGCAGGATGAGTGCAAGTTCAAAGCCAGCCTCAGCAACTTAGCAAGACCCTATCTCAAAAATAAAAAGGGTGAATGGGCTGGGGAATGTAGCTCAGTTGGTAGAGTATTTGCCTTGCATGCACAGGGCCCTGGGTTCAATCCCCAGCTCCACCAACAAAATAAAAAATAAAATAAAATAAAATAAAAAGGGTGAAGATATAGCTCAGTGGTTAAGCATACATGGGTTCAATCCCCTGTATCACATATACACACAAAATCAGAGGAAATACTGAGCACACAACACAAAGCCTCATTAAAAAACAGAAGCACTAGGAAGTAAATGTATCCAAGGAACAGAGTTGGGATATGGGTATTAATATTTAATAATTCTACTTTTGTCATAATTCTACTTGGATATGTCCTGAGAACATAGGACATATGGTAGGTGTTCATCATTGTGTGAACCTCATACAGTGTATTTAAACAAACCTAAATGATATAGGTCAATAACTGAACATGGTCTCTTGATGTAATCAAGACACAATAAACACATGGTGTATGAGGCTTCTGGTGGTGTAATACGCATACTGTCTTAGATTTTATGAGTAGAAGTGCACTATATAAAAAGTACAGCATAGTAAATAAACCAATAACAGTCATTTATTATTATCAAGACGTATGTATTGTACATAATTGAATGTGTTATAATTTTACTAGACAATGGAATACTAGGTTTGTTTATACCCAACATCACCACAAATATGTAATGTGATGAGCTACATTATGAGGACAATGATGTCATTAAGCAGGATAGGAAATTTTCAGTTTCATCATGATCTGTGGGACTACCATGGTAGATGTGGTCCACCATGGACTGAGACACTGTTATGTGGCGCATAACTATATTTCTATTTTGTGGCTGTGGGTCCAACAACCCATTCTCTTACGTGAATAGGTTACTCCTCAAAGTTTTCCTTTAATGGAAATACATTATTAAATAATTTAAGAAGAAAAATTAACGTTCATATGCCATTTTTTATTATTTATTTATTTATTTTTTAGTTTTGAAGACTGAATCCAGGGGTGTTTTACCACTGAACTATATACCTAGCCCTTTTTAAAAATTTTTATTTATTTTATTAATTTTAGTTGTTGGACTTTTTTTTTTAAATTTATATGTGGTACTGAGAATCAAACCCAGTGCCTCACACATTTGAGGCAAGCACACTACCACTGAGCCACAACTCCAGCCCCTATGTCTATCCATTTTAATCTTTTTTAAAATTATTTTTAAATTTTGAGACAGGGTCTTACTAGGTTGCCCAAGCTGGCCTTGAATTTTCCATCCTCCTGCCTGAACCTCCTGAGTCACTGGGATTATAGGCATGCGCCACAAGGTCCAGCTCACTCACCAAATATTTAATGAGCACTGACTTCTACATTATCTGGGTGATTGGCAAAACACAAAGAAGAAAGCGACAATGAATATGCTCACATAGGAGACAAACAAAATTATCATATAAAATTATTCTTATCTCATAAGAATAATGAAGAAAAATAAAGTGAGAGAAAGAGCTAAAAAGCAGTAAGGATAATGGCGGTTATTTCATATCAATGGTCAGGTAGAGCCTCTATAGAGCTAACATTTGAGAAAACATTCAAATAAAGAGGGAACAATTTTTTTTTAATATTTATTTTTTAGTTTTCGGCAGACACAACATCTTTGTTTGTTATGTGGTGCTGAGGATCGAACCCGGGACACACACATGCCAGGCGAGCACGCTACCGCTTGAGCCACATCCCCAGCCCAAGAGGGAACAATTTAATAACTTGGGAAGGAGCATTCTAAGTAGAGAACTTCAAGTGGCCCACTTAATATGTTCACAAAAAAGTAAAAAAGGTCCATGTAGCTGGTGCACAGTGACAGAAGCAAAAAATGATTGGAAGTAAGGCTGGAGATCTAGTTAAAGGGCAGAATGAATGAGGTTTTGTGGTTAAAGTAAGAACTTTGGGAAGCCCACTGGAGAATGTCAAAGAAGGAAATACCATGGTCTGTCTCAGGTTTTAAAAAGATCATTTGTTGTTGTGTGAAGGGAGGGGGAAAAAAGGATTGTGACAAAGGAAAAAAAATGGAAGGAGAGAGACCAGTTAGGGTATTAATCCTGTAGACCACATGAGAGATGATGATGCCCTAGAGTGGTGGTGAAAGTGGACCAGTAGGATTAAGTAATGGATGGAACATGTACTAAGAAATCAAGCAAAGATGACTCCACCTTATGGTGCCATTTACTGAAGACAAACCCTAAGATAGGAGCAGATACAGGGATAAGTATAGCGAGTGGGAAGAATCAATACTTCACTTTGTCATATTAAGTTTGATATTAGACTTCGAGGAAATACTAGAGCTAAAAGCTAAAACTTTCAAGGTCATCAGCATACATGATCTTCAGTTATGGACTAAATGAGATCCCCAAGGAAGTGCAGGTAATTATAAAGCAAATTCAGGAGACTGAGCCGTGGACACTTACTAAAGTATTCAAAGACATTTCTACTGATTAATAATACTGCTATTATGTTTAAAAACATCATATTAAAAATAGTTGAGAAGAATGAATTTATATCAAATTATTTTCCAAGCTATGGCTCCTAGGGTCTCATTTATACTATCACTATTGCTCAGATTCAAGGTAGTAGTACATTGTAGTGGGAAGATCAGCAGGTAAACAGTAACAGAAGAATAGGAAGTTCTCTTTCTTTACCTATCATTTCACTTTCCTGTGTGTGTGTGTGTGTGTGTGTGTGTACATATATATATATATATATATATATATATATATATATATCTCCTTATGAAGATAAGATCATCAACCCCAAGAGTCATGAGTAGAGTGGGCTTACTCTGCTAAAAAGTATATACAAACCTATTATTATAACACTGAAAGTTATAAATCAAAATTTTCCTAAAAAAATCATTAGATACTCATTCATACAAATATAACAATTCACAAGTTAAGTTTTTATATCTGGGCCCAGAACACTGGCAATCTACAAAAGTTAACAAGGTCACATGTGCACATTTACACATAACTACGCTTGAGTTCTGGACAAACAATTCATCTATGATGTTTACCTGAAGCAAATAACCACCTCCCTCATATCACTATAGTACACTTGCCACCAATACTGGTTAGAGGAGTATGTATGTGTGTATGATGATAAACAGCAATGAGGAAGATAGTTTTTAAAAGACAAGATTTAAAAAAAAAAAAAAAAAGACAAGATTTTTATTCTGACAACCAAAATCTGAAAAAGTTGAAAATCTGCTCTAGAAATTGTGATGAAGCTTGGTACATGCCCATAGCCTAATGCATCTGTATGAAAATAAATGACAAATATGGTAAGAAAGCACCATTATCAAATATAGCTTTATTGCAATGTAAATACCAGTATTAAAGAAATCCAGTATTTCCTCTTCCTTTTCTTGTCTCTTTTTTGTCCCTATCTCTGCTTTGAGGGCTAGAAGTATACACTCCTTATGGATAACTAAACCTCTTTAGAGCTTTTTGAAAAATAGTGTTGAGGTTGACCATAACCACTGACTGAACCCTGTAACTGCTTGGCAGCATAGCCCATGAAGTCTTTCGTAGCCCCAGTTAAGAGAGCCAACTGACTAAAACGTAAGGACAGACAACTGCCTTCAATTTCCTGCAAACCCTTGGGTCCACACCCAGTTGCTTTCACCTCAAAGTCTTTAAACTTTAACTCTACATAATGACATATACATATTATAATCACTACCACCTGATTTCAGATTTCATGAACCAGGGACAAATAAATATAGTACAGCGACCGGGCATACTTGATAAAATCTTCAAGAAGCCATCTGTTCAGCAAATATGTGGTCTCTTAGCTCTCCAATCCCATTCTGCCTGGCCAAGCGAGGGGAAACCCAGAAATTTCAACCTTCTCCCATCACCAATATTAAGACAAAAAAAAAAAAAATAGTGGCAAGCAAGTTTGGTCATATTGTCATGTCCGCAGCAGGTATATCCTGTCCTTGTCAAAGTCCTCAATTCTTTTCCCCATATGTTCAGGACACCCCCACTCGCTCCCACCTGACAGTCCCAACGACCACACCTACCCCGCCTGAAGGCCCCCCAAACTTGACCAAACTGTCCACAGGATCTGACCTGAGAACCTCAAGGCTCCTATCCCCCACCCAGGTGAGGGCTCATTTCCCCGCCCCCAACCGCCTTGAAAACGTATACATGTTATAAAAATGTCCAGAGATTGCCCAAACCTCCTCTCTCAACATCCCCACTTTATCTGGGGGCGTCCTCGTCCCATCCCGGCCCCGCCACCCACCCGGAGGCCCATCCCACACACCCTCCAGCTGGGTCTCCAAGAATGGGGTGCAACTGCGGGGAGCACGAGGTGGCGCGTGCGAGCGCCCCGGGATCCGAGACGCGGGCCAGGTGGCCGGCGCTGTGCCCGTAGTGCGACGCGTACCCACGTCGGCGCGCGTGGCGGAGGGGCGTTTGGGTGGTGGGGGCGAGACCTGGAACCTGTCTCCTCACCTACTGGGAGCCCCTTACCTCCCTCCGCGCTACCGCAGCTCCACTCGGCTCCGGCTCCTACGGCTCCGCCACTCATCGGCGTTCCGCGCCCGCTCGGAATATATACCCTCATCCGGGGGGCCAGGGCGGCGGGGCGGGCCGGGAGCTGGGGCCGAGGGGAGCGCCGGCCCCGGCCACCCCGCCTCTCTCGCCGCTCTGAGTGGCTGCGGGTGCGGGGAGGAGCGGAAGCCGACCGCCCTGACACGTCAACGGCGTGAGCGCAAGCCTCGAGGCGGGCACCGAGAGGGGCGCGGCGCGAGGCGGGGCTCTTCGCGTCACTCACTCTCTGGACCAATAGGGAGGCCCCGGGCGTCCTGTCAGTAGGACTAGCGGGGGCGGGGTCAATTGCGTCCGCTCTCTGGGGCCCAGCCAGACGACCCGGGGCAGTGAGCCGGTATCTCTTAGTCGTCCCTTTGGCCCAGATCCGCGGGCGCACACTCTGTCCAGAAGCGGATCAGAGATCAGAGTTGGGCGGAGAGTTGTATCTCTGCAGGGCAGATTTCCGGACACCCACGCAGATGGTTGAGAAAGGACCACCGATTTCTCCGGAAAAACTTCCAGGGCGGGCCTGGGGCGCCCTCTGACTTTGGGCTAGTTATTTCGTCTCAGGTTCGCTAGATACCTGCACGGGCCCCAACTTCGTCAGGGGTGTTTTTGAGTCCCAAGCTGGTGAAGCCAGGCCGCTTTCCTTTTGCAGAACCAGACTTGAAAGAAATGCCAAGAAAAGATATTAGGTAACCTAAGATAGCGGTGAGCGTGCCAGTGAGAGGGAGCCCGGGGTCACCCTAAGGTGCCTGTGGATTTAACCTCGCTGGCCACTAAGATGGTGATTGAATGACCTCCGGGGCCATTCAAGGGCGGATGTTTAACAGTCCTGTTACACAACCTTTTGCGGGTATGCAGGTACAGGTTATATATTAAGCACTCTGTCCTTGAAAGTTGTGTTTGCATTTAAAGTTGTGTTTCATTTTGCAGTTTTTGTAAGAAGTCCGATATGAAATATCAAAAGCACCTAGATTTAACATAGGGCTCCTCATAGGGAAATTCCGGCATATTTAGGTGCCTTCCATATTAGTAGGTTTCCTGTTTTAACTTTTTTCTTCTTGCATGTTTTCTATGAGAATTTTAGTGTCAATTTTTCAAGTTTGTAACTTAACCAGGGGTTGTAATTTATAAATTAATTTTCCATTTGATAATTATTTTTGTGATTTTCAGGAATCACAAAAAATTGTAAAAACAGTTGCCCAAACACAAAAGTAAATCTTTAACCAACAGAGCACACAGCTCTGGAGGAAACGGATCAAGGAAGGGTGTGATAGCCAAAGAGTACATTTACCCTCTGGTATCAGAATGCCAGGTCACCCAAGAAGCTGTAAATGTCACCAGCAGTCCTGTTTATGGTGGAGCTGTGCTGCCTTAGGACAGGAATTATGATAGGGAAGTGTTTTTCAGACTTCCAGTTGAAAACAGATTTAGCCAGACTTGGAAGCAAACACCTGTAATCCCAGAGACTCTGGAGGCTAAGACAGGAGGATCACAAGTTCCAGGCAAGCCTCAGCAACTTAGAGAGACCCTGCCTCAAAAGTGTGGGGGTGAAGGGGAGGGGGGTGATTGGTGCTGGGAGAGTAGCTCATTGGTAGGGCACCCCTGAGTCCAATCCCAAATTGGAAGGAGGGAAGGAAACACTAAGAGATTTAAGGATTAAATGAAGAGCACAAAACCTGTATGCATTGGAGGTTACTTGGAATCTCTTGATATTCATATATGGATACCCCTGAGGTTAAACTATTAAGAGCAAACTGTCACACTTTCAGCATGTATTATTCTTATTCCTTTCTAGGTGATATTATCTCACCATGGGGAATCAAAAGATTCTGTGTCCTCAAGGAATTTATAGGAGAGATGTTCATTTTTAAAGATAAAGGATCATAAGTGCCACAGCAAATGCACAAATAAAGGAATTCAGAGGAGTGAGAGAATAAAAGAATGAAGAAGTTTCCCAAAAGGACAGGCCAATAGGAGAAGAGGTGGGAGGTGTAAGGGACATCTTCACAAGAGGCTGCCCTTTGATGCTTAGCCTTGGAGGCTTTTATGTTTTCCCACTGGTAACACCATCACCTTTTCTTCTTCTTTTTTTTTTTTTTTTTTTTTGGATTGGGAATTGAAACAGGAGTGTTTTACCACTGAGCTACATCTCCAATTCTTTTTTATTTTTTATTTGGAGACAGTGTTTCACTAAATTGCTTAGGGTGGCCTCAAATTTGCAAGTGTCCTACCTCAGCTTTTGAGTCTCTGGGATTACAGGAGTGCACCACCACACCCAGCCCATCATCTTCTCTAACCCCTGCTGACTACTTAGTGAAAAAGACCAAGAAATTTGTTCATACATGAAGAATTTAGGAAGTGATGTATCCACCTACATGGTGCTACTCAGTACATTGTGAAATTTTAAGCATCAGAAGTGACTACCAAAAGGTATGTATTTTTAGTAACATATCTCATCTTGATTTTTAAAAAAAGATAATTCTTTCATTTGTTAGATGAATGGATGGACAGAGAAATAAGTAGAGAGGTTAGGAAGATGGACATCGTGAGATCTGGAAGAAAAATCACATGAGTTCTTTGATGTCAGTTTCCTTACCCACAAAAGTTGAGATGATAATATGTGCAGAATTTGAAAAGAGAAATGAGAAAGGCTCAGCTCATAGTAGCAGCTATTCAATAAACGTTAGGTGAGTTAAAAAAGAGAGGGATAGAAAAAAAGCTAAATGGAATAGAAGCATTTGGAACACAAGCAGAGATGTTTTAAATGGACCATTATTGTGAAGAAATTTTAAAATGTAGACGGTCATACAATAGTAGGTTTTTATTTTTTGTCTTTTAGGCACAATGGGATTTTGGTGGTTTTTATATTCTTTTGGATGCTTTTGGGAAATAAGTTCTGAATCTGCTAAAGTGGAAATTACTTTAATTTTAGAAAAGCAAATGTGTTATTTAACAACTAAAACAGCTGTTTGCTTGAATGGTTTTCCCTACAGTTGTGTCAGAGAGGTGCCAGTCAGCCCACAATTTCTTGCTTTGTACATTTTTCAAACAGTAGGCTAGTAACTGGCGAGGCCACACCAGGAGTTTTCCCTGCATTGTCTTGAATGTAACAGCCTTAGCTAGACCAATGAACTTCTAAAGACACTTATTTCCCAGCAGAGTATAGGAGGCACCGAGAGAGTCTGGCTCTGCTCAAGGCTCTGTTCAAGGCAAGGCCTGAGCATTCATGAGATCACTGTTTCCAAGAAGCTGCAAATGGGTGGTGAAAAGGTTAGTATTTTGACTTTTCTGTTGACAGTTTCCTAGGACATGAGTAGTTCTTTTTCTCAGGAGACATATTGACCTAGCTCACTACTCCTCCCACACTCTAAATTTTCTGTAACTCAGAATATGTTTTGAAATACTGTGAAGTGATGAATACACCCTGTTAAATGTCAAATTTTTTATTCAGTATTTTCCACACCCTTTAAAATTTATGCAATCTCTCAAAGGCTTTTGAGCTAGAAAGTTCGGAGAGGTCTTTGTGCATCTACAGAGTGTGGGATCCTGGGGTGATAGAAAGATGAATAAATGTACAACCCCTCAAAACTGAGTATAACCAAATAAGTACATAAATAATGAGGAAATAGACTGGAGAGAGTGGATAAGAGAGTGTTGATATGCTATAATTAAAAGAAGTTAATTCCTCAGCTGCAGGAATCCACATTGAGAAATGGTTTTTACCATGTGGAAGAGTGAACTTTAAATTCCTTTTCAGTGCTGTTGGCTAGACATTATTATCTGGTTTACTTTCCTTAATTAGTAGACACATTAACTAGAAGTAAATGGTTTACTTAAGAACAATATAGGTAGGAAGATGCAAAAGCAAGATTAGTAGTTAAGAGCTGGGATTTAGCTCAGCAGACGAACACTTGTCTGGTATATGGCAAGGCTGTGTGCTCAGTTCCTAGCATCACACACACATAAAAGAAAAAAGTCAATCTATTGCTATGTACCGGGGTTTCTCTGGAGGTAATGAGTGTAAAAATAATCCAATAATTAAAAACTTCAATCACCATAACCATTCCAATATATTTACTTCTTTTAAAACTAAATTGCTCATTACCATTATGAGTCCTAGGTCAAATGTTGAATACCTCCTCTTGGGAACCCACTTGGCTGGATCTTTCTAATGGAGGGAGCCTTACAGTGATACTATCTCTAGAGGAGATTCCACGGAAACTTAGCCTACAATGACCTCTGACCTACAGTGAAACCAGAATGGCCACACACCTTGTTCCAAACCTGCCTCCCCACCTTTCTGGTCTTCCTTCAGCCACCGATCTCCACTTGGCTGGATGACCTTCCATAATGGAATTTCTCAGAGGTGGACAATTTCCCATAATATGATTTCTCAGTTCTATTGTAAGTACAATATGTTTGGATTTATTGTGCATTTTACCTCTTATATTTTTCAACTCAACATGAATGACATTTAAAAGGGATATAGCAAGATATTTTTGTTAGAGAATATCTCCTGGTCACCTATTGCTCTTTATGAATCTATGACAGATTACTTACTTTATATTTTCCAGATAATATCTTCAAATAATGAAAAGATAAAAATCAGATGTTATACCTAAGAAATCTTAACATTAGCAAGAAATTCCTCAGTAGATTCTGTTTCAGGCCCCATATCTCCCCTTGGTCTGTGCTGCTTAATATTGATGGAAGAAAAAATCAATGTTTTAATGTCTCTCTGGCAGTACCAGGTAGCTTGGCATCAAAACTGAATTACAAAAGTGTGGTCTCAAAACTTACTTGGGTTCTCAGAATTTCTGGTAATTATTTCCTGTATCCCTAGCAGCATTTATTTATTTATGTTATGTGTCCAAGACAACTTAACATAGTAGGTGAGAACATGAAGTCTAATGCCAGACAGCATGAGTTTGAATCTTGGTTCTGCAGTTACTAGTTAAACAGCCTTCAATAAGAACATTTTTTAAAACTTATTTTTAAGTACTTGGGTGTTAGACCAGGATGCAAGAAAAGACCACTGACTCCAATTAAAATCAAATTAAAGCAAGCTTATTATTTCGACCGGCTGGGCTGCCTCTCCCTCCCCAAACCGCGG